GCCGAGGTTTTTTTTTTTTAAATCAAGACTTAGCAGTGCATGTGCTAGAAACTGGTTCTGGTTTTCAGACTTACTGACATGGGTATAGGTGAGCTAAGATATTCAACTGCAGGGCAGGGTCTAGAGTACCCAGAGTTCCTGGGCTGCTCACTTCAGGCTATGAGGGCTCCTGAACACTGGTAAAAACCCCAGTACTGTACAAATATCATTTTATCTTAGCCATGATGTTCAAAAGATTGGAAAACATAACTCTATGTGATGATCATTGTCCGTTGCTTATTATTTTGAGACTAAAGGATGCTTTAGAAAGACCCTATTCTCTATTTCCACACTAAATGAGATCAAGTTCTTAATACTCTTCTTATTGTAGGAGGAACACCTAATTCAATGCTGCATCAGTAATTAAATGATATGTTGTTAGATGACATGCAAATGAGTAACAAATTGAATATGAAATAGAAAGCTTCCTTTGTTACGTAAATTGTCAAACACTTGGTATTGTTTTTAAAGTTATTTGAGATTTTTTTTAGGACACCAAGTTTGTAACAAGTGCCCTTCAACAGAAAAGACACTTGGGTATCATGCGATGTTATCTTAGGTTCCTCAAAGCCTAGCAGTCATAGCATTTTAATACTTATTAATGGAGTGTTTGCCTTCCTTGCTGCACATGAGAACAGATTGGGGTGGGGGTTAATCATCTGGAAAGGTGGTATTGTAACTACTGATTTTGAAGAGTCTTTATAATGAAAACAAGACACAGTTAATAAAAGTAGCATAGATAACATTAGAGAGTTATTTTATTAGGGCCATTAAATATTTGGAGTACAGTACTTAGAAAATCACTGTTAAAATTTTTACAGTTACTCTGAAGCCTGCTAAGAATACTGCTATTTATTACATTTTTAATAATGCTATTTACTACATTTTAAAAGTTTACTCAAAAACTACATGACTTTCAAGTCATTTAAGAAGTCTAAAAGAAACTCCATGCCAACAAATTTAATTAATTTTGCATGGAATGTGAAAGAACCCGTAGATAATAAATGAAAGAGGGATATTGTTTTGAAATGGGACTCATTCAGTGTTCTCTAAGGCGGTGACTGCTTTTCCATGTCGCTTACTGCTGGCAGTTATGTTGAATTATAGAAAGAGTCTGTGGGGTCTCTAGTAGAACTTCTCTTCGTGGATTATTTTTATCTATTATTCCAGAGCCAACACAGGAGCTATGAAGTCATAAATCCACATTGTAGCTGCATGAGAACTTGGCCCTGTCCCATATTTGCATGCTGAGTGCTTTCTAAGCAAAGTTCTTTATCCATAACCTTAGTGGAGTCTTATTTTTCTTAGTGAGTACCTGTGATCTCTAATATGCTTTGTTATCTCTCTTTTTGTTTTATATCTTTAAAAAATATCTCTATGTTTTTATTTTTTCTGGAAGGAAACGGGCTCACTTGAAATGTTTACATAAGTTCTCTCTTTCACAAGAACATGCAGTATTTTGTATTCATTATCTCATTATCTCTTCCCTCCTTGTGTCTTTAGAAAAGTAACAATGGACAACAGAGGGTAAAAGAGTTTAAGTAATTGTCTGAACTCACAGATACCTAATAGGACAAACACTCCAGGAATGTACGCCTTAGTTCCTGCCGGTGACAATATATATTAACTGGGATTCAAGCTTTAACAAACAGAAAAGACCAGCATAAAACTAATAACCATAACATAGAAGCACATTACATGATTTTGGCTATCCAATTAAACATAATCAATATCAAATGTCCACCGTTTCAGAAGAATTACAGTAAGAAATATAGCATCTGTAACCCATTTCTCATTTGCCCGAAGAATACTTGCCAGCAGCACTTGTGGCTGCAGTGTTTACCCCGAGATAACTTGTGGATTACCGTCCTCATATTATCCCCAAAGTTTGCCACGCAATATTTCGCTTTTATTAATATTTTTGCAATGCTCTCGCATATTGACTTTGGAAACAAAAGACATCATTCTATTTATAGCATTCTGGGTTTGATAGTAGTATTTCCATACACAAAATATAGTAATTATTGATTTCAGAAATGTCAAATCCTACATAAAAAAATCATTAAATTCTGATCATCATATACATTTCTGTTACATTAGGATTAGAGATAAGTTTTATTTAGAAATAACTCTAAGAACAGTTTTCATATTTTATTTTCACTTTGAAAATAAGTCAAATTTGCTTCAGCCTCAGCGAACATGTTTATGTAAAATTAAATGAGAGCTGGCAGTGAGCTGTACATTTTTTTTCCTAATGGGAAATGGGTTATGGGTTAAAGATGTACAGGCTGGCTGGGCACTGTGGCTCATGCCTGTAATCCCAACACTTTGGGAGGCTGAGGCAGGTGGATCACCTGAGGTTAAGAGTTCGAGACCAGCCTTACCAATATGGTGAAACTCCATCTCTACTAAATACAAAAAAAAAAAAAAAACAAAAGAACAAAATAAAAATTAGCCTGGTGCAGTGGCACCTGCCTGTAATCCCAGCTACTAGGGAGGCTGAGGCAGGAGAATTGCTTGAACTTGGGAGGCAGAGGTTGCAGTGAGCCAAGGTTGTGCCATTGTACTCCAGCCTGGACAACAGAGCAAGACTCAATCTGGGGGAAAAAAGAAAGATATAAAAGCTAGAGGCCCTGGCCTCTACAAGCCAGCAATTAGTTATTCGTCTTCCTTATCTTCTTTATCATTTTAAGACCTTATCAGTAATACTTTGGGATTACCAGTAGTTAGGACCAAGATATTTCATATATTATAGTAGAGACAACTCTATCTGTGCATTTTATAAGATTAATCAATTGGTATGTTTCTTGATGAATTTCTATATGAAGAAATTCTACATGATGAGTTGTTCAATATGAACTGTCTAAAAAACAATTCCTTATGAATAATACCTAAAAATGCATAAGTAGCAAATATCTCTTATAATGGTTGGTGTAACATGTTCTACGTTGTTCCTACTTTTGCCCTTTCTCTGTTACTTATTTTACTTTGTCTTCATTTTAAAGATAATTTTATTTAAAAGTAAAACATTTATGTTCATACAAAAAATATAGCAGAATACGGGATGGAAAATAAAAGTCCTTCTCCTTTTTCATTGACTCCCAAAGGAAACAGCTTTAATATGTTCACATATTATCTCTCCCCAAATGTCTTGGCATATTCAAGCAGTTATAGGCACATACATAGATATGTGTGTCTATCTGCATTTATACTTATCTATGTGCCTTTGTAAATATAAATTCATCACTATTTCTCACCTGCAGTGATACTCAATAAAACAGAATTCTCAAAGCCCAGACACCTCAGGACAAATATCTTGGCTGTCCTTCCTATGCTGGGGCCAATCAGCTGGCCTCAGGGGAGAGGAGGAATTTGGGAGGTTGGGCAGCAGTGATTTGTCAACAAGTACAGAAGCACATCAGTATTTTATCAACTAGTTGTTCCACAGCTGTGCCTAAAAGGCTAATACTAACCCTACTCTGACTCATTCGATGGGTAATTTCCCCTCCATGGTTCTCAAGCAAGCCTGCATCAAGTAAAGATCTCCAAGGACTAGCATCAGAGTCACCTGTATTACCCCATTCCATACCAACTTTTTATATTTTTAAATCTAGTCCCTTAGGGTATACCATAGATCCTATACATGTATGCATGAGCTACCATGTCAAAACTATGAAGCAGATAAAATTTATTTCTAGAGAGCATCCCTTTCAGGATTCCCTGTAGCTCAGCAGGCCTGTTAATCACATTGTAGTGAGCCTGTCCTCCCAATTGTGTCCCACCAGTGATCTCATCCACTTAGAGCTTAGAGCTGCCAAGCTCTCATACCTCATAGCATTTACTAGTCAAGAACATATCATACTGTTTTATTACTATAGCACTTTTCATCTGTCTCATTATTACACTGTATTAACAACACATTGATGGTGGAATAGTAATTTAAACTAGTTTATATCTGTCTTTCTACCTAGAACATTGTATATAAATGTCATTCCATAATGTTTCTGCACTATTTATTTGGACTACATTGGTAAAGACACAGATATGTACTACCACAAAACATTTAGAATATTTCTTTTTTTACATCTTGAAATTCTACACAAATTTGTAAATAGAGCATTGCCACATTCCTCTCCATTGTCACTCTGTCGACAGTAACAATACCTCTTTATTTCGCCCCTTTTCTTGCATGTTTACCTTTTGTAAGGAGAAGGTACAGAAACCCTTCAGTTAATGTGTTTCAGGTTCAATCAGTTGTCTTCATAACACTGGAATTTCTCATCCATTATTTTCTATTTGGGACTGTAAATGAATGGACATGTATTGAGGGTTTACTGCCACAATGCTAGAACCACAATCTGAACATAGGAATGTGTTTATGTTGTTTTTGCTGCATACTAACTCCCTCTAAATGGCACTTTTTTGAGGATTATCTGATATAAGTAAACATGTTTTCTAAACTATCAAGCACTATTTACACTGGGAATTTCTAGCTTGTATTTTACAGTCTTTAACATAGTAAAGTGAGTAAATTCGTATGTACTATTAATAAATGCTTTGGGTGGTAATAATTATAATGGAACTTTAAATGTCAGGTGAAATGTTGCCAATGAGTTGTTACAAAACTAAAATCCAATCTTAATCCATTTCTTTTAAAGCCATGGTTGTCAAAACAAAACATCACTTCTTAGCAAAAAAGGTTATTAAATATGAACCTGTAATGGTAAAATCATTTCAGACAACATTATAAGATTATAGAATAAAATCTGAAATAAAATCTACTGTAGCATTTAGACTTACATTTGACATAAAATGATGACAATATTTGGGAATTCAATGTTATTGTTGTTGTTATTCCTCCCTAGGTGTTCCAGATTGCGTATGTGATTGTGAAGGCAGCTAACTCCCCCCGGCCTGGAAACTGGATTTTGGAACGCTCTCTTGATGATGTTGAATACAAGCCCTGGCAGTATCATGCTGTGACAGACACGGAGTGCCTAACCCTTTACAATATTTATCCCCGCACTGGGCCACCGTCATATGCCAAAGACGATGAGGTCATCTGCACTTCATTTTACTCCAAGATACACCCCTTAGAAAATGGAGAGGTAAGATGAGAAAACTCACCATTTAAGCACATTTAAGACGGCGAAATAGGCCTGTCAGAAAGACCTGAATATATCAGTAATTAATGTCAGGGAGATTTTAAAATAGGATTTAGCAAAAGTACATTTAAATGAGTTATTAAATAAAAAAGAAAAACCCGAGGTGATTAGAATTTTAACTACCTTCATGTGTCTCCCATCTCCAGTAAAGATCAGAGAAGAGGAAATAGGTTTAATCTGGAAAGTCAATGATTAATTTTACATATAAAGAGACTTTCTCAACAATGAGGATTGCTAATGATTAGAGAAGGACTGGAGACCTTACAGGTGGCCTTACATTTGTGTGTACTTTGGTCTGAGATGGAGACAAAAGAAATGAATTTGTGAAGAAATGTAATCCACATGAAAGACCCAAATGAAAAGTAATTCTTTCAATCTTTTGATGTTTTTCTGCTGTCACCCCATAGGGCTACAGTGGGGTTTCTTCCCTGGGTCAGGCTTTGTGGAATAGTGATGTGCAGGAAGTCTTAAGTTCTCAGTGATGTGCAAGTTAGGTTATATGCTTACTTCAAATATGTTCTACTTCTCCAGTGTCTTTCATCCCGTGGTTAAGATTTGAGATTCATTCATTGATTTTAAGCCACATATTCTAAACATGGCTTCAGTTGTTATTAGTTTATTAGTTGTGTGTGGGGGTGGGGGGATTGGTGTTTTTTGTTTTTTGTTTTTTTTTTTCTCTATTTTCTGGCTTCGTTATGTGTTCTTGATCCAGTTACTTAAATTCTCTGCACCTCAGTTTCATCGCCCATAAATCAGGAATAATAATAGTTCTTACCTCATATAATTGTCAAGAAGAATAAATGCATTATTGTATTTAAAGCATTAGAACAATGCTGAAATGCACACTAAGTATTCTGTAAGTGCTATTTTTATTGTTTTGTTGCCATTAAGGAAACCATTACTACTATTATTTTTATTATTATCCTTAGTCTTCTCTTAAATACCCAAACTTTGACTTACTGACTCTCTTGGATTATCCAATACCTCTTTAGTATATTTCCCTAACTTGTCTCCCTTTAGTATATGTGACCCACCTCCTTTCATCCTACCTAATTATGTACATCTCCATTGATACTCACACATCTGAAGCTAGTATCATCTTTTATATTTACATTTTCAGAAAACCCGTACATTCTATCATGCCCACCCCAGCCGATCTAGGGTTATCTCTAAATACTTCTAGAGAAAATTAGGTTTTTGGCATAAATCTGTCAGACCCTCATTAGGCACTATTTGTGTATTAATATATACCAGTGCTTCACTATATTTCAAATTCCATGGTCAAAAATACCAGTTTTGGGGAAAAACATTCGAAATGGTACTCTCAGCAGAGATCTCAATCTGCCAAATGACAAGGACTCAAATGCAGTGAGTCAAACAGCTGTTCAACCTGCTTTGTGCCTAGAGGCATCCAATTCCTGGCCAGTTTGGCCTGAGGATAGGAGGGTAGGGACTGCAGAAAGAATTTTGAGTTGAATTTTTATTAATTTTTATCCTAGATTCAGTTTACATAAAACTACTAATTGTCTAATATTTTAAGGCTATTCTATACCTTTAAAAATGATTCAATTCAGAAATTTATTAAGCAATGCAAAATACACTTAGGCAGATATGTAAAATGCATGCCACAAGCATATACCCTACCCATTCTCTCCATTAATAATTGTTCTCCATTTCTTAAACCAAGTCAGCCTGCCAATATGAAACAAAAGATGTGTTTGTTAGTTAATTACTCAGTTTCTTTAGTTGGCTATATTGTTTTCACTCCTAGACAACACTTACTAAAAACTATTTATTGATGGTTACTATTAGGAGCAACTGACTGAACTATCTCTATGACATGTTTCCTTATATTCATTTGTCACTCATAGGGAAGTGAATGAAATGAGGAACAGAAAGTAATTCAAAATATCTGTAATAGAATGATAGGATTGAAGAATAAGAATGAAATTCAGACTTCTCCTAGGCTATCTGTTCATTTTATATAGCTTACTTTGTGGAATATGTTACTTTTTTTGAATAGACAGGTGATATTCTCCAAGACTCTCAGCTCAATGGTAATAGAACTGAAATAATAATTGAGGTCTCTGATTCTCAGGTAAATATTTCATCCATAATCTGGTAAAGACTAGAAGTTGTCTTTTAAAGTTGACAATCGCTAAACTTAAAAATGGTTCAGAGGAAATATAGTATTGCTGGATCTAATGTAAGTAGAAAGACACATGGAATTAGAAGACCTGGATTCTGGTACTGGTTCCAGTTATTTGTGGGACCTTGGTCAAATGATTTAATCTCTCTGGGATTAAATTTCTTTAATAGATGAATTAGTTCAATGCCAAAATTGTTCTAAGGCAGCATGGTATTTTCTAAAATAATATAGTTTCGGCTATCATACAACATTTGAGGATATTCTAAAAGTTTTGGATGCTTTTCTCTAACATTATCCAGACAAAGCTGTGGAATAAATCTCACTCATCAGCTTCAGTTTCAAAATTGTGTACTTTCACATAATCCTTGACATCTGGAATACAATTATTAGTCGTTTATGTTCAAAACTTTACAGAGAAGTGACAGTCAAATAAGAGAAGCAAACATTTAAACCAGTACGTAAAACATGATTGTATAAGTACTACAACAGTAGCGTGTACAGAGAGCGATAAACCTCCCCCTGCTTGAGTGGAAGGAGGCACATTGAGAAGATAACTTCTCAGAATACAGGACAGCAACAACTCTTATCTCAAAAGTCTCAAAGCCAATATGCAAATTCATCTCTAGTAATGCCTATGTGTTAAACTCGGTACATACAGAATTCACCTCCATTGTTGAGGGATATTGTTATCAGATATAGGATTCTAGGTTTGCAGTTATTTTGTTTTGGAACATTTTACTGTTTTCTGGTTTCCATTGCTTATGCAGAGAATGCAGCTATCTAATGACTATCTTTTGGAGTGACTTTTCTCTGATTTCTTTAAATATGTTTTCTTTATCTTTGTTCTTCAGTAGTTTTACTATGATGCTCTGGATCTTCACTGCCCACTACAAGAGCCACTAGCCATATGTGGTAATTCAAATCTAAATTTCAGTTAATCCAAATTAAATTAAAATTCAGTTTCTCCGTTGCACTAGCCACATTTCAAGTGCTCAGTAGCCACATGGGACTAGCAGCCATTACACTGGATTGGGCAGAAAGGAACATTCCCATTATTGAACAAAGTTCTGTTGGGCAATGCTACTGTAGATTGTACCTTTTTATTTTCTACATATCTGCAGACTGATGTCTTTCATCAATTCAGAGAACTGTTCAGTCATTACCTCTCTAAATATTCCCTCTTCCCCATTCCCTCTGCTCTATGATTCTAATTAAAAATGACTTGGAACTTTTTGCTGTATACACTATGTATCTGAAACTCTCTTTCTTAGTTTTCATCCTTTTGTCTTTCTGTAGCTTCATTCTAGATATTTTCTTCTGGATTATTTCTAGTTCATTAATTCTCTTCTCAGCTATGTAAATATTGCTATTAAAGTTATTCATAGGATTCTTAATCATATATTGTATTTTTCAGTTTCTAAATTTCTCTGGTTCATTTTCTTTTTTCTTTCTTATTTTTTTTGAGACAGAGTCTTACTCTGTCACCCAGGCTGGAGTGCAATGGTGCAATCTCAGCTCACTGCAACCTCCACCTCCCGAGTTCAAGCGATTCTCCTGCTCAGCCTCCTGAGTAGCTGGGATTACAGGCATGCACCACGATGTCCAGCTGTTTTTTGTATTTTTAGTAGAGACAGAGTTTCACCATGTTGGCCAGGATGGTCTTGATCTCTTAACCCCGCGATCCACCCGCCTTGGCCTCCCAAAGTGCTGGGATTACAGGCATGAGCCACCGTGCCCAGCCTGGTTCATTTTCAAATAGAAGTTGTTTCTCATTTTACATTGAAATTTTATATTTATAGTAAAATTTTAATTTAATAATATGATTTATTCTAAAAGTTTCAATATTCTATTTTTGATCTCCTCGAGCATAAAGTAAAAATTATTTTTAAAAGTTTTTGTCTGATAATTCTAATATATGACCTTTTTGGATATATTTTATTTTCTGTTTCATCTGCTGATTCTTTTTATGCTGTCTTACATTCTTATGTGCCTGATTATCTTTGTATAACAGAAGTTGTATTTGAAAGAGAACGTGTAGAAATAATCTGAGAGCTAGTATATTGTTTTCATCCTGTGTGGATTTTCTGATGCTACTGCCAGGCAATGGAACTCTGGATCAACTTAATTCAATTTTAGGGATTCAAATTTCTGGGACATTCAGATGATTCAAAGCAGTGCTACAACCCAATGACAGCTGCTTTAATTCCAGTATATGCTCATTCTCATGCTGCCTGTCTTTGGAGTCCAAGCCAGCGTGCGTGGGAATTACCAAAGTCCCACCCATGCAGTCCTGGAATCCAACTTTTGTCCTCCTAATACAGCAGGGCTGTCAAAGTGCTGCTCATTCTCTCAGCCATGTCTCTGGACAGGAAAATGCTCACAGGACAAAAACTGTCACAACATACCAATCACCTGTCTAGACATCTCTTTTGTCCTTGATGTTGAGAAGGTTATTCTTCACTCTCCTGATAGCCCTCACATGGCTTTAAACATATGTTTTTGTATATTTATCCAGTTTGTCTAGTTGTTATCATTGAGAGTGTTGACTCTTACTGTATAATCTACCATAAATAGAAGCAAAGTTGCACATGCATTTAATTTTTTTTTTTATTTTGAAATTTTATTTTGGAATTATGTTAAATTTACACACATATATGAAGATTACAGAGAATCCTCACATTCCCTCATCCAGATATCCCTAGGAATAATATCTTAAATAATGACAATACACATGTTAAAACTAAGAAGTTAGCATTGATACACTGTTGTTAACTAAACCACAGACCTTATTCAG